TTTCCATATTTAAATCACTGGCTTGATTTACCTTTCTTTCTTCTAATGAATATTAGTGCTTCGGAAATGTTCCTGTATCCTTACCAAAAGTGATAATTTTTGGCTTATAACTTAAGTAAGGTCAATTATAGGGTTTGGTTTTCCTTTGACATCAGATTTTTTATTGGTAAGTATATAAAAAAATCCTCCACGTATTACATCCATTGTGGTATTTAATGTTTAAATGATAAAAAGGCCAAAGGGTATAATTTTTACAATCACTCTGCGAACAATAACTTGTGCACGCAGGGTGTGTCCTGCCTTTAAGGAATGCAAGCATCTTCCATCCTCGCTGACATTGTAGGATGATGATGCTGTGTAGTATACTTGTCCAATAAAGTTTTTAAGAGGCCAAAGGGCAATAAAGGTTGGCGCAATGGTGCAATCACACTTCATGTGCGGAATGATTCTCTTTTTATGTGCATGTGTTTCTGAACACTGCCCCCATAAACCATCAAGTATTGGTTAATTTTTGATCCTTTTTCACCTGATTTCCGCTTCTGGATTGATTTGGCTGAGGCATAAAGAGCAGAGAGCAGAACCGTTGCCACTGTTGCTGTGGTCCTCTTGGATATCGGACGAGGAGAAACTGGAGCAGTCTGCTGGACTCTAAGAATTACAAGAGGAGCCTTACTTCCAGTCTCCTCTCAAATTTGGAGCCACCGATCCTCAACGTTTTCTTCCGTTACACTGCCCACCATGTACAAGCTCAACGCAGTAACTTTGCCTCCTGCCTGTGACTCCTTTGCCGCACTCTGTTCGGGCAAAAGCTGCCTTGTACCTCCTAGTAACTTCAATGAAGTGCTGAGCCTGGTGTTGAGCATAGTGCTCACCATAATGCTGGCTATGGTCATGTTCTCCATGGGCTGCACTGTGGATGCCAAAAAGTTGTTGGGCCACATCAAGAGGCCCTGGGGCATTGCAATCGGCTTCCTCTGCCAGTTTGGCATCATGCCTTTCACAGCCTTCGCCTTGTCACTGGCCTTCGGCGTTCTACCTGTGCAGGCCGTCGTCATCATCATTATGGGCTGCTGTCCTGGAGGCTCCGGCTCCAACATCATCTGCTACTGGTTGGATGGAGACATGGACCTCAGGTAAGAAACTAGCTGGGCTGAGTGGCTCATTTGCAGCATCCTTGGATATTATCATATCAGTCAGTGATCTGCTGCTTGAACACACTGACAAACTGTTAATTAACTCAGGCATGCCAGAATAATCGTTTCATGATCTGAATGTAAAAAGAATATATCTGCTTTTGAGCACATCACAGTTAAGTAGCACATAACCATGTTTCCTATATAGAGCAGTGCAAAGTAGACAGTGTTTCCTTGATCACAATTTTAGTTGAATTAATTCATATTTATTTTAACTGTATGCACTTCAGAGCTGCTGTCTAACAAGTGAGAGGATAACATTTAGTTTCCATTTGGCCAATCTGCATATATGTCACACTGTCCATGTCCTCTCCTTTCAGTATCAGTATGACTGCCTGTTCCTCTATCCTGGCCTTGGGGATGATGCCTCTGTGTCTGCTCATTTATACCTCTGTCTGGACATCCACCGACACCATCCAGATCCCATACGACAGTATTGGTAATAAGAATTCTCACAGTGGATTATTAGCCATATATATTTTTAAGAATTTTAAATGGAACTTTTTATGACAACCATAAAATGTGATTAGTTTGCAGATATATTACACCACAGCGGAAAACAAATTTAAAAATTCAGTGAATCTGAGTGGTATTTTAACTAAATATTATTGTTGTATAATTACCTAAACATAATAATCATAAAAAGGATTGTGATACTATGAAACTATGTATCTTCAGGTATCACTCTAGTGGCCCTCCTTGTCCCAATTTCCCTGGGAATGTATTTTAAAAGCAAGAAGCCGGAGTTGGCAAAAAAGATCCTCAAGGTAGGAAAACGCTTAACGTACTTTGAATATTGATAATCAGATGAGAATTTGGTGAAGGGATTTGTTCTGACATTTACATTTTGCATTGCCCGATCTAAAGAAAGAAAAGTCTTGGACGGGCTTTTAATAATGTCTCTTCTGTGCACAGGTGGGTTCGATTGCAGGGTTTGGTCTCATTCTTATCATAGCTGTGGTTGGAGGAATTCTCTACCAGTCTTCCTGGATCATTCCTCCCTCCCTCTGGATCATCGGTACAATCTACCCTTTCATTGGTTTCGGCCTGGGGTTCTTCCTGGCCCGCATTGCCGGTCAACCCTGGTACAGGTAGGGTGAAGGCATTATATTGAAGTTTGCATTTAGTAATTTTAACTTAATAACTTGAGAGAATCCTGTATCTAACTTGTGATCAGTCTCACGTAACTAGTCTTTGATAATGCCAACAGACTTGTTTATTTCCCCCCTGCTTTTTTTCCTCAGATGTCGAACCATTGCCTTGGAGACAGGTTTCCAGAACTCGCAGCTGTGCAGCACCATTGTGCAGCTGTCCTTCAGCCCTGCTGAGCTGGAAGTCATGTTTTCATTCCCCCTCATCTATAGCATCTTCCAGCTGGTGGTGGCAGTTTTAACTGTGGGAGGTAAGACTATAGAAGAAGTTAATCATAGCAGTTTTGTCTTTATTTATTGACTCTAGATATCAATGGCCAACGATACACCTGATCTCAACTCATTTTAAGACCAACCACACAAGTGCTCAAATAAGCAAACAGTGTGTTACTGATGGTTGGGTCAGTGCTCAGTTATACCACTTTACAGTATCATATGTGGGGCTTAATCCTGCAGTTTCCCAGCATTATCAGGATTATTATCATCACAGACATTATTGTTATTATTTCCATCAGGACTCAATGTAATATCTTTTCATTTAGTTCTATGAGAAGAACAAACCCCTTCTTTTTTTAACAAAGTTTAGTCTGAGCTTGCTCATTATATGAATACGAGCAGTTTCAGCACCGAATCTGAAAAAGGTCATCTGCATACTGAAGTTGTCAGCGTACACAGATGTAGTAACTAACACCCGGGCCACACTTGCTGCGGTTTTGTCATGGAAAAGCTTTGCCACAGTTCTGCTGTGTGTGACAGTTTCCTGTTGTTCACACTGACAGTGTGTCTCCTGTGGTTCAACAAGGTGTAATGGAACACAGCGGTCCATTACACCTCGGAGCTCGGAATCTCTGGCCCGAGTTGAAAATTGCAACTGGAACGCCCCCTCAAGTTGGAATCTCGACCCACAAGGTCAGAGGTTCTGCCCCATCCCTGACTTAGAAATCCAAGATGGCCCTTATGTATATCAACAGTAGTGAAAGCTGTAGCTTTTACAGTTTATCAGCACTTCTGTCATTTCCTCTAATAAAAGTGGGTTATATGCTTATATACTCAGTGCCAGGACTCGCTGAAGCTGTACATCTTCAGGTCTTGTGATAACAATCAAAAACGTATTATAACAGATGAGTGGATTAAGTTAACAGAAACACCTTTATTGTTTATTATTTATTATAGTACTTTTATTTTGAGAGGATTACAGGAAGTGTTGCAAATATCTATGTTTGTGACATATTCGACAGATAAACATTGAGACTGTTGTGAACCACGTTTTCACTGTTTATTTTGCTGTAAAGCAAGCGCAGTACATGGAGAAACCTCAAATCTCTCGGAGAGCAGTGAGGCTACTGTGGCAGAACCACAGCTGGACAGCCAGCAGTGTGGCCTGGACCCACGTCTCGAGCGTTACTTAGCTGATAGGCAGCTTCATTTACATGGTTCAAAGCTGTCCAGTATTTTTCACATGTGCCAAAGCTTTGGAGTCTTTCTTTTTTATGAACATTCAGAGGTCATTGTCTTTACACACAAACTGTGTAGAGAATACAGCTGCAGTCCCTCCTCCTGTTTTTGTCTGATGGAATGATAAGATGGTACTTGGGAGGACAAGACTCTGTGATCAGATCACTGACCAAAAAGGATTTGTCAGCCAAAGATCTGACATTAAAAAGAGCTCAGCTGAGCTGTGGGGCTTCTGTGACAGGAAAGGACAGATGTTAGATTACTGAGGCAGCGCCCAGATGGTCTGTGATTACTATGATGTGTTTGACAATGCCACCGACTGTTTAAGGTCAGCGGTAACTTTAAGGAAGCAGAATGGGCTTTCATCTCTGGTAGACACCTGAATGGTGATGTTTGTGCTTATAAGTTCATCCAGTGATGTTTGGATGAATCCCAGGTTTAAACCTATCTGGTTTCAAAAGTTCCAAAAGATAATGATTGTCAATAAGCCATATCCCATGGGTCAGGCACGCCGATGGGTCAGGACAAGGAGAGGGCTTTCCAAAGGTTTCGATTTCTTTCCAAATATGCTGGAATGGGGCCTGAGTTGAAATCGTGTTGCGATTGACAGTCACTCAGTGTCTTTTTTCTTCAGGATGTCAGAGCCTGTCGTCCTTCAAAGACTGTTTATATGGAAACACAGCCCAGTGTGGACAATGATTCTCATATTACTTGGGAGGATGGTTTGCAGAACCTCTGTTTACTTTGTCTGTATGGTTTTTGTCTGCATGTGGTGCTGCCGCAAAACATCTTTACATCTAATGATCATGAAAACATGTGCATCGTCGCAGAGTATTTTGAGATAGAGAGAGAGAGAGAGATTACAATTCAATTCTGAGTCCTGATAAACTTATTCTGTGATTATGTCACTCTGAGGAAAGGGTCCTGGCAGCATAGGGGGAGGGATGCTTCTTGGCTGCAGTGAGTTCAAGGACAGTGATCAAGGTTAATGACAATAAAGTGTGTGATAAGAAGCTGTATAATTTATATTTGTTGGTAGCTCTAAACCATAGCTGCTAGCTTATGCTCACAAACCGGCACATTATATTTCGTTATACCTCCTGCTTCAATATGAGGATGGGTAAATTCACAGCCAGAGACATTTACATCTGTTCCCCTTCACTCCTGAAGTGAAGGGGAACAAATTGTGGCCTGACTGCACCTTCATACAGTAAAAAGAGTGATACTTTAACATAACTAAATAATTGTCTAGAATTGTTATATTGCTTAGCATCATCTATTTTTTTTGTTTTCCAGTATAAAAATAACGACTTACAAGACAAAGGAAATATAATTGTCCTGAGACTGGAACTAAGCACTAAAACCCCAGCGTTCATTTGAATGCTGGGGTTTTAGAAACATGACTAATTATATTATTGCTGCAGTGTCCATTCTAAATCTTCCTGGATTGGGCTGTTTGCTTGTCCTTTGTCAATGCTCTGGACTTCACCTAGAATTATTACTTGCCATTAGTGAGTCCTCCTCAAACAGTTCTACAATATACTGTCGCTTTTCTATTGTTTGTGTGCTGGATGTTGTGTGCAGAGCTTTTTCTAAACTCTTGATGGTGCAGAGTGAAGTTAGTAAACTTTGTGCTTATCCTCCCTGCTTTATTTGAAAGGAAGATTTTACAGTCAATGTTTCTCATAAAATAAAACTGATTTGCTTTACTACTGCTTGTGTGTGGCTTATATGTACCTTGAGATAACTTAAGGTTTACTGCTCTATAAAAGCACTGAGTTCTCTGATCAGTGTTTCTGACTCCATCTTTTCCCCCTACAGGCTACCGGCTATATAAAAGGAAATGTGGCGCCGTCCCAGCTGATTCAGACAGTGAGGCTCCATCAGTGGACGATGCAGGTGTTGAACGTGCAAAAGAGAAGAGATACCCTGTGGAAAACGGTGCCTTCGAGTTTGATGGGAGCGGCAACAGCAAGGAGAAGAGTAAGGACATTGACAAGAACACCAAGCTGTGATATAACAACCCCTGCAAATCACAGACTTCAGACTCTCAGTATGAATGCCCAGCACTATCGCTCTCCTGAAGAATCAACTGTGAACTCACACTGCTCCCTGCAGGCCGGAGCTGTGTACTACCGTTTCATGAGAACAGGGGTGCCCAAATTTTCATCTACCTTAATTTATTCATATGTGTTTATAATTATTTAAAAGAAGTTTACTCTGTGCAAACTGTCAGAAAGCCTGTTGAGATTGACCGAAACCACACAGAAATGCAAACTGAATGTTTAATGCTGTTTATGTGGAATGGCTCTCTCTATATATACAGATAGTTTATGTGCTTTGCACTAAATGATGGAATATACAAACAAATACAATTCAAATATGTTTATGTGACATTTATTATTAAGGTGGAAGTTGTATCACACAGGCACATGAGGGATGTACTTCTGACAACTTATGTTTCACAGGCACCGAGTTGAATATAATATAGACTATAAGGTTATTATGTTACCTGTATTCTCTATTTCTGGTTCTTCTGCATTGAGGCCTTGATGGAAACATGAGTGCTCTGTGCGCTCATCCAGCTCCATTTATTCTTTCATGCTGTACCTCATTTAAATAAATACATGGGGTATGTACAGTTTTTTAGCATTCTGAAATGCTGTTTGCAAGCTAGTGGTTTTACATATCTGTCCACAAGTGCTGTATGTGTTTATTATATGTAAAGAATATTTGACTAAATTAAAGCCATATTTGCTAAGTGATTACAATTCTGATAATTTACTGAAAGCTTTTCTTGTTTTTTTATGGATGTACAGAAGCTAAATATTTTACAAAACGTGTGTATTCCAATCTACCAGTGTGGTTTAGAAATGTGCTTGCTACAATAATATATTTCATCAAAAGACATTTTATTTTGTTGGCATTTTGTTGTAATAATTCATGTTTTGATGCAAATATGAGTATCAACTCAATAAACATTATTTGTAAAATACACCTTCTATTCTTTGCCTTATCTATTGTGAAACTAATAATCAAGCAAATGTATTTATATTTTAGGATATATAAGAATATTGTGATTATTTTAATGACATTGACCATTGTGCCCACGGTCAGGAACACACTGCTTCCCAATCATAAAATGATCATATTTAATACAATACAGTTGCTGTTGTTCAAAGTCCAAAGTGTGACAGCAAAAGCATGTCGCAGTCACATAGTTAAATATAATGTAAGTGCTGTCATGTGATAGCGGACTTGTTAAACTGTGTATGCACTTGTCCTTGACATCAGAGAGCTGGGCCAGAGAAACACTGGTGTGCTCCACCAACACTCTTCCTTCCAAGTACCTTCACTTACTGCTGGAAACAATCAGATGTCATACTTACACCAAGATGACCTGGATTAATAAAATAAATATACTTTATTAAACAATTCTAGATATGTTTACCACACAAGGTGTTATGTTTGTTGGATTTTATAAAGAGAGTTTTCAGTTCAAGTTTAAACTGTGTTTTTGTTACATTTTGAATTCATGTTTTAAGTTTGCTCTTTGTCCCTCACTGTGTCCCACTCTGTGTATCACTCTCTGTGTCCCTCTCTGTGTCCCTCTCTGTGTCCCTCACTTGTGTCCCACTCTGTGTATCACTCTCTGTGTCCCTCTCTGTGTCCCACTTTGCTCTTCTCTGTGTCCCACTCTGTGTATCACTCTCTGCGTCCCTCTTCTGTGTTCCCCTCTTTGTCCCTCGCTGTGTTCATCTGTGTTCCACCCTGTGCTTCACCCCGTGTTCATCTCAGTGTTCCTGTGTTTCCTGTTTTATTTTGTAGTCCCTGCTCTTGGTGTGTTTTCCCTCAGGACTTCCTGCCCTCGTCAGGCTCACCAGTTTGTCCTGTGCCACCTGTCTCGAGTTACTCATCAGTTCAGTGTGTATTTAAGTCTTTGTGCTCCCCCATGAATTAGTTGGTTCATTGTCGTTGAATGCCCAAGTCATGTTCATGTGTTGTGTCACCTCTCGCCACGTTCCCTGTAAGTGTTTCAAGTCTTTTCCTGTGTTACTCCCCTGTTTTGCCTTAGAGTATTTTTTGAGTTCTTGAGGATTTATTTTTGTTACGTTCGCCCTGACTTAAAATAAAGGACACCTTTTGTTACAAACTTTTTTGGTTCTTACCCTCTCCCTGCACCGCATCGCCCCTGCCTGACACAAGGATTTTCAAACAAAGAAACATTGAATATGTATTTAATTCATAATAGAGGTTTTCACAGAGGCAGACGTCCCCAAGCTGCTGTAAAGTGTGTCATTAGAGGCTTGGTGTTAAAAATATGACATTATTACTCTACTAGTTATCACATAGAGAGGCTCATCATTATGTGATATGGTTAGAAGGGATTTACTGATGTGTAGTTTTGATGGATTGTCCTACATTCTCAGAAACTAATAATAGCCTATGCACAAACATTTTCAAATATATATGGTGTACTTTGATAGGTATCCAGAAATTGAGTGAAACTAAGCAAGTAAAGTAAGGTACAATGAGAAGGGGCCTGTTCACAAGCTTTGACTCAGAGGAGCCCCACAGTCTAAGACAGCTTTGTGGAAAAGTGAGAAAGCTATTTCTCATGAATGGACATGAGAGGCAGGTTGATGTGACTGAGGAGCTCCTTTCACAGACACACAGGAAGAGAAGAAGACCGTCAACTTCTTTTGACGATTCTTCCTCAGGAATTTGTGAGCATTAGGATTCACATCTCTGATGGGCACACCACATAGCACACAGGCCATTTCATGTCACTGCGTCGCATGCTACAATGAGGACAACACTGATACAGAGTACCTGCTCCAGGACATTTACAGTGACTTTGTCTTTGTTGTCATCCACCCCGACATAGAGGGACCAGGTCTATTTGTGGTTGTAATTTCTCTGGCTGAAAACATTCCTGACTGGGACATCAGTGTTTAAGGCTCTATATAACAATCTGAAGGGCAGGGCTGCTCTGATAAATATTATCCAGTCAAGCTGCATTTGCCAATATCAACACTGACCATCACATAAGGATTTCTATTGTTTTTTCCAAATGGACAACATGTTATTCCATATAAGAGCTGCATGCAGCACTTTGATTCACTCAGCCCTTCTAGATTACTCTCTGTCATGTGCAGTCACTTAGGCACACACCGAAATGACATTGACTGATCTCATCTTCATCGTCTGTAAATGATAGGACTGTGCAGCAGCGGGTCAAAGATGTACAGGACAGGGCTGGACATTGTTGGTGTCTAAATTCCCACTCAGGAGGCAGACACCATCTCTGCATTTAAGGTTAAACTAAAAACCTTCCTTCTGATAAAGTCTATAGTTAGTTCTGGATCAGGTGAGTCCTGAACCCTCCTTAGTTAAGCTGCTAAAGGTCTAGACTGCTGGGGGAACTCCCATCATCCACTGATTCCTCTCCACTTCTCTCTGCCCCCCCACATTCACTCATTTATTTATTTTAATGCATGTCAATAACTATGTCACTTTGTCTTTCTCTCATTGCAAATATTTCTCAATCCAGAACACATTGTGCTATACTGTATATTGAAAGGGCAGTCTTTGTAGTTTTATCCTGTTCAAGTAGAAGACACTGATTATTTCAGAGAGTAAAATACATAGTGCAGGCTATCACATCATCATTTCTGATTAGTAAAGGCTAATAGGAGTGAAAGGAAAAAGAAAGGGATAACAAAAGCAACTTCCTCTTAATTAGCTGTTAAATTAATCATGTTTTTGCACTGCAGTCAAACCCACCAACATAATATGCATACTTTCTACTGTGTCAGTGTTGTGTGACTACATGTGGCGTAAAAGTAAGACAGCATATACCAAAATAAAAACAGTTTCATTACCATTACAACTTGCCTACTCTTTAATATACAATCCTTTATAATAATATTAATTATAATAATATTAATACTACATATAATTATGTTTGGCCTATTACATTGGATAGAGTTACATATTGATTGCAAATTCAACGACTTTGCTATCTCGAAAGTGTGTTTTTTACAACTTTTGTTCATAAGCCATCTCGGATGCTATTAGTTATCTGAAATAACTAAGGTTGATTATTAATCCAAATGTCTGCATTCATATGGTCTTGTTTTAAAGACACATTGTATATGAACAAATGGTAAACCATTTTAACACTTAATACAAAGTAATATTTCTGGTAAAAGGCCCAGAAGATTTGTTTAAAAATGTTGTGCCATTGAATGCACCCCTTTCAGTTGACGAAACAGTGCACTAACAATAAAGTGTGAAAAAGCATTGATAAACAGATCTGTGGATGTTTTCTCAAGATTTGAACATATGCCATGGTTAAGTTTATTTGGTAAAAAAACTAAAAGCTAATATGTTTTCTAAACCCTATTTTCACAACCCTAATCTCAACCGGGAACAGGAATACAAATTGCGTCTCATAGGGCAGCTTCCTCTCTGCTCCATGTCCTAACTTTGAGGAGACGCCCACCTGTCATGTCCTTACTTTACTCAGCCAATGGGAAGACGGACAAGTTCGATTGGCCGGTGAAAAAAGGACCACGGCGTCGTCATCGCTCAAGGATTGGCTGGTTGCCGTGAGCGACCGTATCGAGTGGGATGCAGTTCATTCTGCTGTTAACCTTCACACCTGTCGGGTCAATTGAGCAGAACTGTTTTACAACAGAAAGAGAGATGTTAGTAATTCAAGTGTAACATGCATGTTTAATGTTTTTTTAATCTTGTTAGCTGGTTCTACTTCTGCTGCATGCCCTCCCACTTTACCTGCATTTACCACAACATCAAGGCATCTGGATCTTCTTCGTTTTGTTCTGTAATTAGCCATTTTATATTTGAGACTATTTTTCCAACCACTATAGCGCTGAGCCTTTGCTTAAGTGTCACTGAGTGGTTGCTGGGACATCATCAATAAACAGTTTAAAACATCAATGAAAAATGCTGCAAAATATGACCATTTAGGCCTATATTTAAAATCCAATGTTGCTCATATTGACTGCAGTGATAACTTTTTTTTCAACATAGAATATGATGCCTGAGTGTCACTATTAAATTGTCTCTAAATTTGTATGCTGTAAGAGGGAAAACATCATTCAGCTCTTTTATTTGAACCACACACAAGGAGGGGTTGGTGCTGCAACACAATTCAAAAGATCTGAAATGCTCATGGTACCATGCAGTCATTGTGTTGCAGACAAACAGGATCTCTGTTTGATCTGCTTAAAGTTTGGGAGGCCTGAACAAGAACCAACAGAGAGTATCATATCAGGAGAATATCTAATTCCATCAACAAAGACTGATGATGCCACAAGAACTGTAGCAAGTTGAGGAATTCTCCGGAAGAAAACATGTTGGATATTCTCAGAATAAGATGTGATTGATGCTGTGGTAACCTTGTCCATTTTAATGGATGGTTTGAAAAATTA